CATCCATCCATCCATCATCCATCCATCCATCCATCCATCATCCATCCATCCATCCTCCTTCATCCATCCATCCATCCATCATCCATCCATCCATCCATCCATCCATCCATCCATCCATCCTCCTTCATCCATCCATCCATCCATCATCCATCCATCCATCCATCCATCCATCCATCCATCCATCCATCCTTCATCCATCCATCCATCCATCATCCATCCATCCATCCATTCATCCATCCATCCAGAGGATAATCTGCAGTCTTCAGACAAAGTCTGGATCTACGAATTGTTTTTTCTAAGCTTCTGGAAAAGGTCCAGATAATGTTTGGAGACTGAAGAGCTGTTCAGCATCATCTCTCTGATTTTGTCTGATTAGATCTTTGTTCTGTTCTGATCTAGTTAACTAAGGTCTAACTTTATCTCAAAGTAAAAACTAAAGCGGTTTCTTCCGTCTCCCCTGCAGTTCCGCCTGTGGCTCTTGGGTCTCGGCTTCAGCCTGGCTTATGGCAGCATGTTTACCAAGATCTGGTGGGTCCACACCCTCTTCACCAAGAAGGACGAGAAGAAGGAGAAGAAGAAGGTATGATGGAGGGACCATGGGACCGTTCATGGTGACACCATAGGTCTAACATCAGGCTGGTGTGAAGGACACAGAGCAGCCAGTCTGCCTCACAGGAAGCCAGAGGGACCCAACAGTTTATTCCTCCAGTTCATGTTGACTGGAGACCTTCAGCAACTTCCTGCTGCTGGGGGCTCTATTGCCCCCTCTGGTGGCTGTTAGAGGGATGTGCAACCCAGCACATAATCCCACTTGGATTAATCATCTCAGCTGCTTCAATCTGAGATGAAAATAGTTTCATAAAGCTAAGGCTCGTTCATTAAAAGGGTTTCTATCAAAGATCTGCTCATCATGTCTGCATCTTCAGCATCAAGAACATCAAGAAACCAGGTGGTGTTTATTAAACTGTTCCACCTAAAGTCAGAAGATCTAGATTTTACTATCTAGATCCATCAGAACATTTTAGAAAACACAAAACTATCGACCCTGATTCAGACAGACCTCTACAGGAGACCCTTCCTGCCTCCAGCATCAACAGCTGGATGAAGGAGCTTCTGCAGGAGCTACTGCAACATCTGGTTTCCCTTGGAATCGATGGAGACCAGTGCTGAGGCTGAGGGGGAGACTGGGAATACTGGGAGGGAGGAACAGTTTAGTCCATTGAGGACATAGGGACCAGTCATTGGTCCACAAGTACCTAGAAGTCCCCGATATGTAGCTTATTCCTAAGAAGAACAGACGGAGGCCTGGATAGGACACACAGAGGGACGTTTGTCCTGATGTCCTCTGATGCTGCTGACTCCTGTCTTTGTGTTTCCACAGCCGCCCCTGGAGCCGTGGAAACTCTACTCCACAGTGGGAGTGCTCCTGGCCATCGACTTCCTGTCGCTCATGATCTGGCAGATCGTGGATCCTCTGCACATCACCGTGGAGGTAGAGTACGACACACTGATGACATCACCGCCGCCGCCGCCTCAGAGGCTGCAGGCTGATGATCTGTGATCATCTGAAGGACGTTTTTCTTCTTTATTCAAACACCTCGTTTTAAAAGTTTCCATTCAGTTTATGATGGGAGATAAAAAGCGACGCTTTGATCAACGTTGGAATGAAGTTTTATTTCAGTCTCCAGATATCTGCTGATATTAGATTGATCCATTTTAGTTCAGTCGTCCATTTCTATGGGGGGGCTTTCAGCTGTCTTAGGCCTCCCTCCCTCCCTCTATGGCAGGCCGTTTTGACATTTATTAGAAGCGCTGCCCTCTCTATTGTTCCATTTGTTGATCTCTGAAATAAGATTCTTCCTAGTTAAAAAGACATTCCTACTAGTCAAAAATTCACTTATAGATATCCTAAAATACATTTTTGCTAGCAAAAACTACATTTCAGGCTGCCAAAAATATAATTGTAATAGAATGAATAAACTTTCAAATACGTAGAAATCTTTACAAATTTTAAGTGGCCATTTTGAGGTTAATTAGCTTGACTGAATATATATTCCAGATGTCTCAATGCATTTCTTCCTAGTCAAAATGATCAGATAACATTCTTCCTATCTAACATATACATGTCAGATATCTGAAATGGAAATCTTACAAACGATGTCATGTTTTCCATTCATGTGTGTTGGGCTTTTACTTCCAGATATCTAAACATTCTTCTTATCTAAAACGAATTCTGACGAGGATGATTTACTGCTGCTCATAATTACTATTTCAGATAGATAGCACTAATGTATTCTACCTAGTCACATTTCT